ATAGAAAAATTTTTTATCTCTAATCTTTAATCTCAACATTTAAGCTAATCCCTTCCTTGTCATCCTTCTTCGATGGAAAAAGTCCACTGGCACTTTTTCATGGATACTAGTGCTGCCAAAAAGATTATAGATGCAGCGGCTATCTCCAGACCCGTCAGCAGATGGATCTTCGTGCTCACAAGTAACCGATCCGCCTCAATTTGTTTATACAGGGTGCCCCAAAAATATCTCGCAATCCGAAAGTGGCGGGTTCCTCAGGTCATTCAAAGTTATTAACGAAAAACGGTGACCAATGAGAGGCGAGCTCAGCTGGCGCGAGGCGAACGAGCCAATGAGCGGAACTGGGCTGCATGCGCTGGTTGGCTGGGCCGCCTCGCGTCGGCTGTACTCGATTCTTACTGGTCACTGTTTTTCGTTAATAACTCGTTAACGGTGCCTCGAAGAAAATTTTTGTAAAGCAAGAAGCTGCTTCAAATGATCTGAGGAACCCGCCATTTCCGGATTGCGAGACATTTTTGGGACACCCTGTATACAGACTTCGTCCGTCCTTCCGACATCCCAACATCTACAGCAAGGGCCCGCTAATATAACCTTACCGACGAGTCCTCTAGCGGTTCGCGGACGAAACGCTCTCCCTTCCTTTTCCCATAACTCGGTCATTTCAGCAGCCGCCAAATAGTAAACAAAGGTGTCATTGGTCAAGAGAGTAGGTTAGTAAAATTCTTCCGCCGTTATAAATGAAACTGGTGATCGCCAGCCTTGTCAATTATGTTTTTAGACTTCATTGCACTAATATGGATTGATAATCACCGAAAGTCATAGCAAAACGCGCAATCAGTTTATTTGCGACGATGCCATCATTGGCGCTTCACTGTGACTTTAATTATTGGGTTGGCAACTAAGTAATTGCCGATTTCAGTTATAGATGTCTCTCACTCCCATTTTTATGATATTCGTAAATGTTATATTATAAAATTATTATTATTATTATTATTATTATTATGTTATTTTTTATTATCCGTGAATGTTAGCAACTGGACAAATTGAATGCAGCGGTCAAGGAAAAGCGAGCAGAATTGGTCAATCCTAAAGGACAATGCTAGGCCGCACACGTCTTTGTCCACTCGGCAAAAATTGATGGATATTGGTTGGGAATTGATGTTACACCCACCATATAGCCCTGATCTCGTGCCATCGGATTACCACTTATTTCGATCCCTCGACAGCTCTCTTCGTGGTAAAACTTTTAATGACGATGACGCTGTAAAATCTCACTTAACTCAGTTTTTGACCGAAAAGGATCAGACTTTCTACGAGCGTGGAATTTTCAAGTTGTCAGAGAGATGGCAAAAGGTCATCGAACAAAATGGAAAATACATTACAGATTTAATTTCATTCCAAGTAAAAAAATTTTTTATTTCATTGAACAAATCGGCAAGTACTTAGTTGCCAACCCAATATTAATAAAGGTTATGGTTTCGCATCTGACTATAGATAAAGGTTATGGTTTCGCATCTGACTATAGATAAAGGTTATGGTTTTGTATCTGACTATAGATAAAGGTTATGGTTTTGCATTTGACTGTAGATAAAGGTTATGGCTTTGTATCTGACTATAGATAAAGGTTATGGTTTTGCATCTGACCATAGACAAAGGTTACGGTTTTCCATCTGACTGTAGATAAAGTAATAAAACTGTGGCGGTCGCTGCGTTGTTCTTCCGATTCATTATGCATATTTTGTTACTTCAAATTGCGCCGCAGATTTGATGCAATTACGGTTGCACAATTGCATTATTCTCCTAAGCACGATAGAAAAATTTTCTGCTGTAACACAGTGAACAATCGTTGTCCTCGGTATTTTGCGTAAAGATTCCGCGCAGCTGCTGTTAGACGAGTCTGACGAAACCATTACATTTCATTGCGAATTAGATGAAAAGTAAATGAACAGCCCGCGAACAAACAAGTCGAATCGGATCATTAACCACTTGTCGATATCGTTCCTGTTTGATCGCGCTTATCAGTAACGCAACGAGGAGAGGGACAAAAGGCGCAACGAACGTGCCTGCTGCCTCGCTTTTACTTTCTACCCGCGCCGGGCGTTAAGGCGAAATGCTCGGCGTTGCGCAACGAGAAATTTGTTTCATCGGGCGAAATAACGCGGGTCGATCAATCACCATTAACCAGCCAGGGATAACCGTGTTCCCCTCGATACCGGCTGGCGGCTACGTTCGTGATAAGCACCGGCGCGTATCGTCGAAGGTAACATTCTGGTAAATGTTGTCGACGATCAACTCGGTGGATCGCGGTGTTCTTTCCCTCCGACGCGACGCGTATGTCGAAGCAAAGAAAAAAAAGAAGTAGCGCGCTGATCAACCTTGATACGTGACACGAGTTTCTCACAGTCCAGAAGATTTAGTTGCGGATACGGTATGAATTTTATCTGTTATTTTAGATGGAAAATGATATATTTCCATAATAATATATAATAATTATATTATATATAAATAAATAAATATATATATAAATAATATATATAAATAAATAAATATATATATAATAATATTTCCTTATATACACAGTGTTCCATAATTATGTTAATACCCGGAACGAGGTGATGACTGAGGTGATTTGAAGTAACTTTTTCCTTAGCGAGAATGCAATCCGCGGCTTTGTTTACGAGTTATTAACGAAAAACATTGACTAATGTGAGGCGAGATGTGCTGGCGCAAGGCGACCGAGCCAACCAGCGGACGAAGCCCAGTTCCGCTGATTGGCACGGCCGTCTAGCGCCGAGCGAACTCGCTTCTCATTGGTCAGCGTTTTTCGTCAATAACTCGTAAACGAAGCCTCGCAGAACATTTTCGCTAAGGAAAAAGTTGCTTCAAACCTGAGGAATCATTCCTTTCCGGGTATTAACATAATAATGGAACACTGTGTATAGTACCGACACTTACAAGGAAGGATTTTTAAGTGTCCGCCTCCGATTGCTTTTGAATATGTTATAGAGAATCAAAAAATAAGGGATACGTATTTTTTTGTATCGACTCAGTTTCAAAAATCGCTTCTGAATTTAGTTGTACGATTACTATCAAAGTTGTTGTAAACTTAATTTGTGGTATATCCGAGTGGATGAATATCAGTCACCCTTGACACGGGGTAAGCTACCCCTAAACGTTTCAATGCACATTTAAAAGGCCTGAAAGCTGCAAGGAGTTCGTGTAAACTTTAAGAAATCTTCAATTTTATTGCAACAAGTTATTGCACGATAATAAATTAGTGGATATATGACCTTCTACCCTTAGCGAGGGGTGTCCCACCCCTGATTGCGATTTGCTACATTTGGCTTTAATAGTGACTTCTAAACGATGACACAGTACGAATATTCGTGTTTGTTTCTTGGACGTGTGTGCGGTATCGCGGCACAAATCTCGCGGATCAAGAGTATCCGCCGGTGTTTTTGAAGTGATCCGACTTCTCACAATTAGCTATCTTTATAATGTTTGGCATCCCTTATCCTATATCACTTTAATCAAGTTCAATCAAATCGTGATAGAGAGAGATTCATATACGGTTTCAGGTATACAAGGTGTCCCAAAAATGTCTCGCAATCCGAAAGTGACGGGTTCCTCAGGTCATTTGAAGCAACTTCTTTCTTTACAAAAATTTTCTCCGAGGCACCGTTAACGAGTTATTAACGAAAAACAGTGACCAATGAGAGGCGAGCTCGGCTTGCGCGTGGCGACCGAGCCAATGAGCGGAACTGGGTTTCGCGTGACGGTTGGCTGGGCCGCCTCGCGTCAGCCGTACTCGATTCTTATTGGTCACTGTTTTTCGTTAATAACTCGTTAACGGTGCCTCTGAGAACATTTTTGTAAAGGAAGAAGTTGCTTCAAATGATCCGAGGAACACGCTATTTCTGGATTGCGAGACATTTTTGGGACACCCTGTAGAATTTGAGCATTTGTGCATTTGTCATTCAACTATTTCAATTCTGCAATATTAGTATTCTGTAGAATTTTGTGCATTCACATTTCAACAATTAATACTATTCGATACAGCTACTAACATGCAATAACATTTTTCAAATCTCATCAAATGATTTGAACTGTTTTTGAAATATTGTATATCAGTTCGCTGAACAACGAGAAAATTTTGTTTTGCAAGAATTACGCTTGGTTGGATCGACAATGAAAAATGTTTTCTCACTTTTTTTATCCGAGCCTATAACGAAAATTTAAACAATGCATTTTGTTAATTTTTGTAACTTTATTATGCTGAAAATTTCATCGAGATCGGTTAACGTTGACATGAACTGCAAACTGCAAAATTTCACAATATCGTAGCCATTTAATTGACGAAATCGAAACTAGAAAATTAAAATTTACCATAGGAAGTACATGTTAGCTTATCTTTTTCTGTATTCTAAAAATCCTGGTAGCATTCGGTTCGTTCAATATATCGTAATAGAAATGAATTTCAAAATCTAGTTGAAAAATCAACAATGCGTTTTGTAAATTTTTGTAAATTTATTATGCTGAAAATTTCATCGAGATCGGTTAACGTTTACATGAACTGCAAACTGCAAAATTTCACAATATCATAGTCATTTAATTAACGAGACCGAAACTAGAAAATTAAAATTTACCATAGGAAGTACATGTTAGCTTATCTTGTTCTGTGTTCTAAAAATCCTGGTAACATTCCGGATTGCGAGACCTTTTCGGAACACCCTGTAGAACGTTTTCATGCTAGCAAAAGAAAGGCACAACAACGACAGAACAATACTGGATCAGTAAAAAAGACAATAACGATAAAACAGAGAAAATTTTGTCAATTTAGAAGAGTTACAGAACTTGTCAAAGAGATCACAATGATTGAAACAAAATTCTACAGTTCATGTAATACTTGCATTCCCTCCCTTTCTCCTTGATTGATCTGTTAGCGCACGTGATAAGTATGATCTAACACTGATATTAACAATTAGTTATTCGTTTTCCAGAACCTACAGAAGTCGAACGACACGTCTCAGCTCAGCGAAGGTAGCACCGTGTCCGAGGGCGCGACGAGAACGTCCACGAGGAGCGAGAACGACAGCGAGCCGTCCAGTCGGGAGAATGGGAACGGCATCAGGAACGATTCGACGACGATGGATCACGTGCACGGGACCGGGAACGGTAGCGTCGGTGGCAACGAGCCACGACAGGGTCTCAATCTCAAGATGAGCGCCAAGGAGCTCAGGGCTCAGCTGGCCGCACGCAAGAAGTACGATCCGAAGAAGGAGTCGATCGGTTTTAAGGACAAGTTCGACATCGTCCAGAAGTTATAACCGATCGCGCGTTACCCTAATCGACGAACCTGTCGGCTATGATCTGTCTCGCGGTGCTCTGTCCAGCCTCTCGATGTTGGTAGCGGGAATCCCTCGTCCTTGAAGCAACGACGAGGAACGAGCACTATCTCGAGAAACTTCCGGTTATTTGTATCGAAACTTTTACAATTTTTGTTCTCAAAATGAAGAGTCTTGAAGAGCCTATAGCTAGGCTTCAGGTAGACCTGGCAGGAGACTTCTTCTGGAGACTTGTTTGTAGTTCTGAAAACACTAGACTCCGATTCTCTTTGCAAAGCTTACAACGGTACCGAAGCCATAAGTTCTAGATTTCGACATCAAAGTCGTAAATCTAAGTCTCCTTAAAAAAGAAAAAACTCCTAGATCCTATCAGACTCTTAAATGCTTAGCAGCTAATTGTCTGTGCCCTAGATTCCAGTTTCTATATTCTTGGTGCTAGCTTCTCGGTTGCTTGAAACTTCAGATTTTTCTAAAATTCTAGATTCTGAGTTTCTCTTTGCGAATCTTGCGACATTCCACATATTAAATCATATTCTCCTCAAGTCTTAGGCTCCTAGCATTTGACCTTGGGAAACTTGCAGCGTTTATCTAGGTCCTAGATGCTAGCTTCTAATTCTTTAGACTTTAGTCTGCAAGTCTTAAATCTTAGTATCCAAGTCTTAGGCTCCTAGCATTTGACTTTGGGAAACTTGCAGCGTTTATCTAGGTCCTAGATGCTAGCTTCTAATTCCTTAGACTTCAGCCTGCAAGTCTTAAATCTTAGCATCCAAGCCTTAAGTCTCAGACTTTTTTCTGCCATTCTCGAAATTCCAAATTCTCAATCCAACAGCCTCGGGTCCTAGATCCTATGTCTTGGATCAAGCATCTGGGTCTATTTGCGAAACTGTCGGCATTCCTGAAAATCCAGATCCTATGTCTCAGCCCCCCCCCGCCCTCCCCTCCAGATCACTAGATCCATACGGATCGCAGAGGACTGGCGCGCGAATTCTTTTGCTGGAACTATGCGCGACAGGCTGCAAGTTCTCGAACACGTTTCACAGTCGATCGAACGCTGGAAGTTTCTCGTTGCAGCGTGCCACGGTTGGTTTTGTCCCGCTGCTGCCTACGAGAACGGAGGTTTGCGAGGCGCCCCAAGGACGATCGCGACGAGCGACGCGGGAGAAAGTGTAACGTTGCCGCGATACGACACGCGAAAATAGCGTCATCGCTAATTTCTGTTATCTCTTATTGAATTCAGGACGCGCGCTGTAACGGCGCGGCGTGCCGCCGGTGCGTTAATGTCCGATTGTAGCCGCTTCGAAATTGCGAATTGGCCAACTTGCGAACGCTGGTGTTTCCTCGCTGAAATACGTTTGGCGAGCGAGGATACAACAAGTAATATTGGGAGTCGAGAAGACGACGATGGTTCCTAGTAGACAGAAGATCATAGTCCTGTAAAGCGATCTTCATTGGCAGAAAAACGTTGAATTTAAGTGCAATTAATCCTAAATGTAAGGATGGCAACAGCGTGCAAAAATGTTGCTGTGCACATTTTTGTCATAAATATATGAAACGTAGCTATGTATAACGTTCTATTAGATGCAACGTGTATCCTCTTGTAGGAAAAGAATATCATTTTAATTTTAAATCGCTGTGTAAATAATCTTGCATTTTTAAACAACTGTACAAGATCAGTTTAATTTTCAAAAGACAAGAGACCGCATAAATTCTAACGGAGAGAACGTGTCGATAAATTTTTAGCAAACCTCGCATAGCAGCGGATATTTGCAAAGCTCTTTATTAGCTCTTTACGAAGAGCTAATAAAGTAATCCATCGGATGGTTACTTCAAGACGGTCCTAGTGAACAGTTCGGTATTACATTATATAATGAGCTTAATACACACAAAAGTCTAACAGGCAGAAATGAAATAATATTGAAAAGCTAATTCACTGGATGTTAATTCACTTCCTAGTGAAAAGTTCGGTATTACATTATATAATGAGCTTAATACAAGGCTAACAGTACAAATTACAATACAATATTACAATACAATTACAATACAATTACAAATACAATATTATTTAATATTGAAAAGCTATTTCACTGGATTTTCAGACATATTAAACGTGGAACGATTGACACAGAAGAAATCAGTGAGGTTGTAGGAGGATTAACTATTCCAATCACTTGGGACGGATCAAAGATGAAGACAGGTGAAGCGAACATGTCTTTCGCCCCGGCAACGTCTCGGCTGCTAGCTTCTCTGCTCCCAATAGTACACCGGAGAGGGAAATCATGGCAGATCGGTGGCTGGCACTGCGCGAGTTTGCCAAGATCCGAACGGCTTATGTAATTAAAGGAATGTAAGAGACAATACTGGGAAGAGCCGCGCGAGGTTTCCACGTTAAGTCTCCTCCGCCGAAGTCGCAGGACTCGTAGAAAATGTTCGGGTACTGTCTCGACGCTGCCGCGGCATTGCTAAATATTACGACAACCTGTTGTGCAACGGTCAATTATCGTCGACGTGATCCTTTTGCGTCGTGTTTTGTAGCGCGCGCGAATACTTGATGTCTCTGATCGCGTTACGTTTTCTGCCATTTTTCCCTTTTCCAAAAAGGAAAAAGCCACGCGCCTTCCGTCCTCCTCGGACATGGTTAAGCGAGCGCACTTAGATCGTTGAACGTAAGATCGTACGGTTGACATTGAAACGAGTCGTCTTACGCACTTGCGACAGGAATTGGTAGATAAAAGACAAAGAGAAGAATGCGATAACGTTATAAATTACTCTGCATTTTTATGCGAAAGAGAAATGTCAACGGCGTAAAATTGTTTGCCAATGTTATCCACGAAAATTGATGTAACTCGAAAGCTTCGGATACGAACTAACAACGAATTTTTCAATTAATTTCACCAGTATGCGGGATCAAAGTCGCGCGACCTTACAGCGGCTTGACGACCGCTTTGACGCAAACTCGCACATCGAGAGCCGATCACGAGAGTTCTGGAGAAGCAAATAATTTGCGAATAATTACTTCAGAAGATACGGTCATACATCGAGAATGCGTCAAAGCCTCGTCACAGATCATCGAGAACGCCTCTTGAGTCTGTAAAAGCGTATCGAACACCGCGGAAACGCGACGCCACGTTGTTACTTCGTTATTACTGGCATAACACGTTCGGCGACGAGTGATTCGTCGATCTTCCCGTTGGTGTTTCGAGGGATTAGCATTACGTCACCGATCTCCAATGTTCACGGATTCACGGATTCCGGTCACGTGTTCGGTGTGCCAGTCTCGTGCACCCGATACATATTCGATTTAAAGGGGACGACTCGCTCGCCACTGCATAATAATATAATTGCTCGGCATTTCTTTTTTTTTGAGGAGATTTTGCGCAAAAATGGACAATTCGGGAAGAGCAGACACGATTATGCGAGCCTTGCAGCTCGTTTTTATAGCTGTTGACAATTCGTGACTATAACAAATGAACCGCAAGGATCGAATAATTGTATCTTATCTACCTAAATTGTCCATTTTTGTGAGCATCCGTTAGGGAGACAATCTGAGCGTCAATTAGGGAGACATTACTGTAAATATCAGACTGTGGATCTTCATGCGAAATAAAAAAGTATCTCCGTCGACTGCAACCAACGTGAATCCAATAGAAACTTCTTTCGTTAAGAATTTCAATGAATCTAAAGCAATACAGTAATGTCTCCCTAATTATATATATAACGCGCTCAGATTGTGCACAAAAATGGACAATTCGGGAAGAGCAGATACGATTATTCGAGCCTTACAGCTCGTTTTTATAGCTGTTAATAATTCGTTAGTATAAAGAAATGAACCGCAAGAATCGAATAATCGTATCTCCTCTTCCCAAATTGTCTATTTTTATGAACAATCCGAGCGTCAATTAGAGAGACATTACCGTACCGAAAATATTGTATCGAAACTGCGGACGCGTGTCCTATAAATGTCGCGTGTCGTTCTTTCATGTAAAGAAATTCGACGTACACGAGTCGTCCCTCTCGACGCGATCGATAAGCGGCATTTCCCGCGGAACGTGTACGTAACGCGAATATTGATACGCGATTCCTGGAAACTTCGGCATGGTTACGTACACGGTGCCGTCCCACGGTTAAAACGCGATTTCTTCGTATCGCCGGAGCCGCGTTTTATATACAGACTCGTCTATTGTCCGGGATAATTAGGATCGATACGATCGTCAGACTCTTTCGTAACTCCGACACACACACACGCTGTTTTCCATTTCAAACAACGACAAAGATGGTTGTTGTTCTACTCGAAGCCGTGCGCGCGTCTAGCCAGCTGTGTACCGCCCGAATTCTGATGTAACCGAAATTTCGTACACCTGCAGAATGATTGTTCGCTGGGCCGTAAATCATCGGAAAATCAGTCTTGCACGACAACGTTATCTGCGGCGACGAACATGTAAACAACCGCCCCGGAGATAAAGCGTATTCTCGTCTCGCTTGCGAATCGAACGCTATCGTATTTTTTGGAGAGAGTAGAGCTACCAGTATCGAGCGTCGATTGCGACGGGGATTGCGTCCAAACGAAAACGAAACTCGTTTTTAGATTCGCGAAGTTCGAAGCACGGCCGACACCAATCGAGCGCAAACAGAACTCAGCTCCAAACCGATCTGTAAATTCTTTGATATTCTTTTCCTTTTCTTTTTTTCTTTTGTTTTTTGATCGATATAGTTGTTTGTTGCGCGAGACGGTTTGCTCCATAAAAACGGTACCCGCTTCTGTAAATATTAGATCCTCGTGCGTCAAGGTCGGTGCAGAGACGAAGAGAAGCGTCGACGTATTCTTCGGAATTTGTCTAATGCGAATCGATGTTCTCTATAAAATACTCGAAACTTTCGTTCCTTTTGTTTTGTTCGACGTTCGTAAATTCAACAGGATTTGTACACAGTGTTTGCCGATTCGAATTCAAACGGCGCGCCCGTGCGCGCGCGCACTGTTTCGATTTTTCCCACGGTACACTCTAGGAAAGTTCTCGAGAATTCGATTGGAGGGGGGAGGTCTTGCAATAAGTTGGGCACCGGTTCCTTGAAATGTATATAAACATCTTGCGCCTGAGAGATCCAAGTTACAACACGTTGTTATGATTATCGCACACATGATCGAATGTTAACTTTTAAGCGTTTAACTTTAAGCATTACGTTTGACAGCGATGCGTCACAACCGCGCCGCGTTTGTTCATCAAATTACGTTTAACCGCGTACATCTGTGTATAAATATCGTTGTACGTAAACACGTCTTTTTTTGTCCTCAGTTCTTATTATTTTTTCCCCTCGTCCATGATAGTCGATCCTATAACCTTTCGATGATCGATGAACAGGTACTACACGTTGCTCGTGTTTTTGTAACTAACATTTAATTCCGTTTTACATATTAATCGACATCGGTTTTGTTGTAGAACGATATTTTTATTTCTATCCGTCGTTAATTAGAAGTGAGCAAGGAGAGGACAAAAGATATGAATTGACATCATTTATAAGTACGAAATGAGCAGTTTATTTTGAAAGTGACATAAGTCACTTTGTTTTTAAGTCGATATATTTAATTATAATAATATATATAATATATATTTATTTATATTTTTGCGTTTTAACAAGTTTAAAAATATGAATGCTAACTTTCGAGAAGATTTACTTGTATTTGTTATCTCAGGATACTGATATTTTTCTCAGTATAAATAATTTCGTATAAACATTAAAAAATGACCACTTTTCATTACGATAAAGTGACTTATGCCACTTTCAAAATAAACAGCTCAAATGGCGTATTATACAAATCCATGGCTATTGCAGATAAAAATGACGACAGTGGCACCACTCATGATGAAATAAAGAAGCTTTCTCCATACAGCGCCAATTGATACAGTGGCAAAACGTTCAATCTGCTAGACATATTACCAATAATTGATTTTGACTAACAGTTTCAGCATTTACGGATTCTGAAATGATATTCGCGATTTTGCCATAAATTGCGCCACTAACGCTGTTGCTTATGGGTCTAAAGTATATTTATTGGTTGCTTATTGCTCTAAAGCAGGGGTGTCAAACTCAAAAGCTAACTTGGGTCAAATAAACAATGCTTAATTTTAGGTGGGCCGCAAAAAAAATCAATGTTCATAGAAACAAATATGTTTATTTTGACTAGTACATTGTAATAAACATATATAAAGTTAAATTATTGTTTACGTCCTGATACTTGACATCTCTCGCAAAAATGTTCATCTCGGGCCACGAGTTTGACACCCCTGGTCTAAAATATATTTATTAATTGCTTATTGGTCTAAAGTATATTTAAAGAAAAAACGTTAATTCCGTCGGTATCATTTGGCTAACAATTTGAGCATCTTGCCACTTACTAATTGGCGCTGTACAGAGGTTTCAGAAAGCTTCCTAATCTCATCACGAGCAGCGCCACTCTCAAACAATACGTCACAAGTTTTATGTCGTAAAATTACGTTTCCTTACGTCTTTGGTACCGCTACCCCGCAAGGTGTCAGGCTGTCGGCTAGACCGTGACGTCACCGACGATAAGATTACTACGGCTTTCCAGATCTATTTTCGCGTCTCTGACAGGGGAGGCTTCACTTATGACCAGTTAGGCATGCAATTTGTCTACGCATGCGCAGGGAGTCTACCGGGTGAACATTGTAATCCTGAACTACGATGACGACGCGACGCAGGGCTTCGGATGATTTTACTATGTTCACCTGGTAAATGCCCTGCACATGTATAGTAGTGCGTGATTAACCTTTTAGGTACGGCTGAATTCTGCGTGAGACTATTTCTCTGGACGGCAGAGTCTGATATGTACTGTACAGAGTCTGATACTGTATATTCTGTCTGTAATTCTTTCCTTTATAAAAATGTTCTCCGAGGCACCGTTAACGAGTTATTAACGAAAAACAGTGACCAATGAGAGGCGAGCTCGGCTGGCGCGAGGCGATCGAGCCAATGAGCGGAACTGGGCTTCGTGCGCTGGTTGGCTGGGCCGCCTCGCGTCAGCCGTACTCGATTCTTATTGGTCACTGTTTTTCGTTAATAACTCGTTAACGGTGCCACAGAGAAAATTTTTGTAATAGAAGAAGTTGCTTCAAATGAAGAACCAGCCATTACCGGATTGCGAGACATTTTTGGGACACCCTGTAGACTGTTGTAAATCGATGCGAAGACAAAAGAAGTGTGAAACAATGCATATGAAGACGATTATTTGGTTCAAACGATGAGCGAGTGAGCTACCAGAGCAAGCCACTATAGTGGTGCGTCGTCCAGAGAGATGGCATCCGCGAAAGCCACTATAGTGGCGTGTCGTTCTGAAAGATGACATCCGCGGAAGCCACTATAGTGGCGCGTCGTGCCTAAAAGGTTAAATTGCGTGCCTACACTGGTCAGGAGGCGTAGCCCACGTAATCCTTATGTAGCGGGCCGATAATTTCGAGCTCTGCCTTAGAGCATATACAGGGTATCCCAAACTTATGGTACTTCCGGGAAATGAGAGATTCCTGAGATAATTTGAAGTAACTTTTTCCTTAGCGCAAATACAATCTGACGTTTTGTTTGCGAGTTGTTAACGAAAAACAGTGACCAATAAGAGGTGAAATTAGTTGGTGCGAGGCGGCCGAGACAATAAGCGGAACTGAGTTTTGTCCACACGGCCGCCTCGCGCCAGCCGAACTGACCTTTTATTGAGGTAAAAGTTACTTTAAATAACTTCAGGAATTCCTTATTTCCCGGAAGTGCCATAATTTTGGGATATCCTGTATAGCTGGAGGAAGCATCTACTACTACTGCGTATGAAAGCATTTTGTAGAAAGAGATAGATTTAACAGATTGAATGCCACGGGGGTCACCGGTGACCGGCACTTAACTTGGCGGTGACGCCATGGGGGTCGCCGGTGACCGGCGCGCTTAAATTGATAGAAATATATATAATTTAAAACAAATGTCAATATCTAAAATTTTGTATTATTACCATCGTCAATTTAAACAGTGACCCCTGTCGCAATTAACATGCCAAACATGGTTATAATTTCTGTAAAACCGGCGTGGCATTCAACGTGTTAAATTCAGTACAACCTGTCTCTTTTTACTAGATACGGATTGGCTGATGTTTTTTCCCTCTCATTTTTTCCAATGCGTACTTCTCAAAGTTCTGCTCCGGCTCGTGACCTCTGGTCGTTATACTGTTAGAAGTATAGGGTCTTGAGACTTTTGTTCGATCCTAAATTAGAGTGAGACAGGTAGTACTGAATTTGAATCTGTCTGTTTCTACGAAGTGATAGAAACTGGTTTTCATACCCAACAGTAATAGATGCTGTCTTCAGATATGTATGCTCTAAGGCGAATGTCCGTAAGGGAACGCCCTACGTTGCAGGAAATGGTCACACTGGCAGGGACGCGGCGGGCTGCCAGTTCAATAGGCCTGTAATCAAAGACTTAGAAGGTACATTTCACAATAAAATAAACTCTTGTAAATACATTGACAAAATTTGATTAATCGAAATTGAAATCGATAAAGTATACAAATTTTACTTACAAGAAAATAAAAACTAATTTTAGTTATAAATGAAATAAAATTAAATTAAAATAAATACTTGTACAGTATTATATATTGTATCGTATATCATATAATGTACTTTTGTACTTTTCCTTGAAATAAATTACAACGGTAAAACAACAAAAATTCGTTGCCTTTTGAATATCAAAAATATATTGACACAAATGTATCTATCGTATATGTATATTATAATTCATTGTGTTCTTCATCCAAGCTATCCTCATCACTTTCATCAGCTTCATGAGCAAAGTCTGTCGGATTACACAACTTTGCAACATTTGTGCACATTTGATATTTGATATTATCTGCCTTACGAACAAACAATGAGATTATGGAATCTTCGAACTCCTCCACTATACCTTCACACTGTTAATAGGAAAATCAAATAAAGTCTTTGCGATAATTAGAAAAATAATAAATATTATGCTAGAATGAATAAACTTACATAGTATTTTAAACTTCTATTTATATCATCATCTTGAATAATATCGACCTTTGTCATTTCTGGGTTCATACCACCAGATGGGCCCATAAGATTCAAAATTGTCAATTCACCATTGGATTTATAAGTTGCTCTTACATAGTCGGACATTTTCTCACAAATATTGTCCAGCACATCAGATATATGTACTTCGGATTGAGCAAGAGGTACCTTAAAAAAAGATTAAAATATATTGAAAGATTCAATTAACTCAATACCTGCCATAATTCAAAAATACAAAAAAGAATTAAATTGAGGTGATTAGTTTCAACCTGAAGTTTACAACGATTTAAAACAAAATTGCGGGAATTCTTAATACTTTCATAGAGCACATGATACGTTCTCACTATTTTAATGCCTGTATTTCATTTAGAAGTTGCAGTTTTTAAAAGAAAAAAATCTGAAAAAGTGTCCAAAAAATGGGACATCGGCGAACAATGGGTTAAGTAGTGTTTGTAAAAGTAGAAAATCAAAGAAATTCATTGGTACCTTTTTGTGAACAACATTTCCCTCTGCATCTAGCCTGTAATTGCCTATCTCAATTTCTCTCGAAGGGTCTATTTTTCCTAATTCCCCTTCAATTTCTTTTATGGTGGATCTACAAACTGCACATTATTAATATTAATTTATTACATCTATAATGTATGTAGAAATTATATAAAGTCTATTTAAAACTTCATATTTGCATAAAGTTTACCTAAGCATTTTAAATAATTAGTGTCGATTTCTATACTGGCAACGATGGTAAACACAAATATAACGGGACACAGCACGATTAAACTGTTCATCTGTAACGAAAGTATGACAGAACATAAAAATATATGATAATTTACGAAACTGAGATATAAAAGTATCGATGTATACTTACATTGTATCCTGTTAAGAAGGATAAGGAATACTTAATCGACTTAGAAAGTAACGGTGTTCTAATCGAACGTCTGAATTTCCTTCGTAAGTGAACACGTGTACGATGCGCGTATATACACGTCACTATGATGTGAAATATAAGTAATTTCCTTATCACATATAAACACGAGACTACCAACATACAAATTACGAAAGCGGGTATGTATATACTGACGATCAGAATACGTACATCAGTCACCAATCAACTGACAATTATCAGTTAAAATAGGAGCTCTCTTTGAACGCCATTATCCACGAAAGTACTCTCTAATGTGAAAATGGCACATGAATCATTATAAAGAACATAAAAAAGTCACAGTATTAACGATTATTGTTCATGGAATTTTTAATTAACCTTTATTTTTATGGCGAACATATTTATGACGAATCGAGAGATTATTGTATATGTACTACTAGACACGGCGTTTGTATAGTGTGTGTATAGAAAAGCCAAAAGTTCAATGATGCAAAGATGACTCACGAAAGATACAATAACGAGTCCTACTCCTGTACACTTCCAGTCCGCAGCTTGATTCGCTAGCGAGGGTTGTGTAGAAATTTTCTGTGCTCTGATTGGCTGACGATTCACTGTTAAGACAGGATCCACTGCGGATTAGATGCGCAGTAAAATGATGGAGTTACGCGCGCCAGCTTAGAAAGTAAGAAAAGCGTGCATGAGTAGGTCCCATTACTACAGTTCACTGTGACATGAGATGATTATTCAAAATGGTTGACATGGCGTCAAGCTTCAAGTTCAAATTTTAGATTCTATTGGATGCTATCTACTCATATTCGTTATTCATCATCGTGTCGTGTAAACTTAATTTTGAACATTTTTTAAAACAATGGTTCGCGCGTGTTGTTTCAAAGGCTTCAAAGAGAATGAAAATAGTAATAGGTATGTAACTACTTTCTACCAGTAAATATTTCATTATTCTTAATCTGGGTATTAAGCTAAAGATTAAAGATTTCCGTATACTCGTTAACATTCAATATTAAAACAGTTCAACACGCTTGAACTCTTTCGAAATTGCAGATATATCACACTAGCATAGCTTATACCTCAAATTCACTGTGACGTCATGTAGATGACTCGTCTTGGCTTCAGGCAAACTATCTGAAGCCATATGTACATATGGTCTAAGGGTGGTTCCAAGTGATTCCGTGTTACGCGTCAAACTGAATACAGCCAAAGTGCATGTAGCCCCTCCTTACGGCAAATTTTAATCCTGCTTGTCCAAAGTCAGAGTCAGTGCAGTCATGAAAATCAACTACGCAAGGCGATGCATGTGCAGGGAGTTCTGCACAGCGGTGTGAGGCGTCTACCGGGTGAACATTACAATTCTGAACTACGATCAGACAGAGGCTCTGCGCGTGCGTCGCTTTACGTAGTTGATTTTCATGACGGTGTATTTATGTATATATGCTACATAGACTGTAGATGCTTTCCAAAGCATCGGAAGGAGAAGCCAGCCAGTGTCAGCTAGCGTATCTAGCGCGTGAGGATCTTTAGTTTGTCATCCGTGAACGTGTCTGAATTTTAAACGATGAAAATTGTATCTATGAAATATATACAGTGACGACCATATACATAAGACCACTTGAAAAATGGTATAACTTTTTTCAAAGTGAGCTGAAAGACTTGAACTTTTTTTTAGATAATTGAAGGACTAAATTTTGCTATTACTTGAAATGACAAATAAACAAAAATTAAAACACTCACATCTTGGCACAGTTTTGAAAAAGTTATACCGTTCTTCACAATGTATATTAGAAGTCTATAATATAAAGTCTATAGTATAACAGTCTATATGGAAGAGGAAGTGTATACTTATTATAGTAAATTGATTAAAACCAGTATAAAAAAATATGCATATTCTTGTATATTATTAAAAAGTGTTTAAGTTTTATTTTTAATGTTTGTAATGATATTAACAGAGTATCGAGTAAATTGTGATAGAGTATAATTTGTTCAAAACATTCGTTATGTAATTTGTTTTTGCGGAAAAA